TAAGAAAAGTCAAGGGTCTCCAAAGAGAAACAGGACACCTTTGCTTATAGCATGAGAGTATAGAATCCCCAGGAACCACAGACACAAGGAAAATGTATACCCACTTGCAGACTTTTCTCCCAAATTTTAGCACATGCTCATGAGAAATATTGTGGGAGAGTAGGAGAACTGAAAAGGCCTCCCTCATGGTGCACACCTGTGGGAGGAAAAAGGCAGCCAATGGAAGAAAGGCATCCCTGACTCCCATACTAACATCCCTAACTCCCATAATGAAAGCCTTAAAATGCTAGAAGGGAGTAAAACCTGTTGTCCTCAGGCCACAAGACCCACTGCAGCTGAGAAAAGGAAACAGAAAAATAATTATCTAACTCTGAGAGAGGAATGGGAAAATGTCCCAGGCCCAAATCATTAGCAATCCCTTACCAATCGGGAAGAGGAAAAATCAATGGAAAGTTCCTAACCCCTAGACTCAGGGACAGAGTGCATGTCTCAGACCAAGGCTGAACCAGAACTACAGAAAAGTCCTCTCCCTTTACCCATCCCCAAAACTAGACTAGCAAGTATAGAAAAAATGATAGCAATCTACTGCTGGGAAAGGGGCAAAAGCACCAACAGAAATCCCCTCTGAAGTGCAGGTCCAAAGGTAAGACCTAAAGCCAAGAGTAGATATTGAGAAAAACCTTCTCACAAACCAGCCAGGCCCCCCTGGCAAAAAGTTAATGCTAGAGAAATTTGAAGCCTATGAAGCACTGAGGGTAAACTCAGGGAAAAAAATGTAGATACAACTTAACTGCTAACTACTAGACTGTCTCAACCTCCCTACCCCCAATGACACACATATGCACACATACATTGAAGAAAGGAAAAAGTATGTCCATTTCCAGGCATAAATACTACTTACCTCAGTCTCTACTGTTCTTCTCAAAATGTCCAGCTTTCAACCAAAAGTTATTAAATAAACATTAAAGGGAGAAAAAAACAATACAGTGTCAAGAGGCAAAGCAATCAACAGAACCAGACTCAGATATGACCCAGATTTGGGATAATTAGATAAGAAATTTAGGACAACTATGATTAATATGTTAAAAAGCTCTGGTGAAAAAGGTGAATCACATGCATGAACAATGGAAAATTTCAACAAAAAATTGAAAACTATTAAAAATACAATGGAAATGCTAGAAATGGAAAACATGGTAACAGAGATGAAGAATGACTTCAATGGACTCAGAAGTAGACTCGACACAAAACAAAGCATCCGGGGCCGGCCCGGTGGCGCACTGGATAGGTGCGCCGCTTGGGAAGCGCGGCGGCGCTCCCGCCCGAGGGTTCGGATCCCACATACAGACCGGTTCCTGCTCACTGGCTGAGCGAGGCGCAGGAGCAGCCCCGAGGGTTGCAATCCCGTTGCCGGTCCCCGGTCCGGTACGGAGGCAACACTGAGGGTTGCGATCCGTTGCCGGACACGGGAAAAAGACAAAAGACAAAAAAAAAAAAAAAAAAAAAGCATCCAGGAGCTATGAGACAACAGGAAATAGTCTAAAATATGTGTCACTGGAACCCCAGATGAAAAAGGGAAATGGGGCAAGACAAATATTTAAAAATAAAATGGCTGAAAATTTTTTCCCAAAGTTAGTAAAAGATCCCAAATCACAGATCCAGAAAGAATACCAAGAAAAATACACTCTACACCCCCCCCAAAATTCACACCTAAATATGTTATACTCAAACTGATTAAAAACCAAAGATACAAAAAATATTGAAAGCAGCCAGAGAAACAAAGACATGTTATATACAAAAGAACAAAGATAAGAATTAAATCAGACTTCTCATCAGAAACTCTACAGCCAGAAGACAATGGAGTTCATCTTGAAAATGAAAAAAATAACTGTCAAGTCAGAATTCTATAACTAAGAGAAATATCTTTCAAAACTGAAGATTAAATATACCACTTTCAATTATAGGGAGAACTAGGCAGAACAAGCAAATAGAACACTTGAACAACACACTATAAACCAACTAGACCAAACAGACACCCAAAAACACCAGAATACACACTTTCCTCAAGTGCATGTAGAATATTCTCCAGGATAGACTATATGATGGCAATAAACAAGCCCCAAAACGTAAAAGGATAATAATCATACAAAGTATGTCTTCCAACTACGATGGAGTAAAATTAGAAATGAACAAGAAGGGCCGGCCCCGTGGCGCGCTCAGGAGAGTGCAGCGCTGGGAGCACAGCGACGCTCCCGCCGCGGGTTCAGATCCTATATTGGAATGGCCGGTGCGCTCACTGGCTGAACGCAGTGTGGGCGACACCACACCAAGGGTTGCGATCCCCTTACCGATCACAAAAAAGACAAAAAAAAAAAAGAAAGAAATGAACAAGAAAAGAAGAAATTTGGAAAATACACAGATACGTGGAAACTAAACAAAACACTCCGAAAAAAAAAAAAAGGAAAAAAAGGGTTGGCAATGATGTAGAGAAACTGGAACCCTCATATATTGCTGATAAAAATGTAAAATGTGCAACCACATTTAAAAAGTGTGGCACTTCCTCAAATGATTAGGGTTATCATGTGACCCAGGAATTCCACTCCTAGGTACTTACTCAAGAGAAATAAAAACATACGTCCACACAAAAATTTGTATGAATGTTCATAGCAGCATTAGTCAAAATAGACAAAAACAGAAACAACACAAATGTCTATCAAATAATGAAAAGAGAAACAAATGTAGTACAGCAATATAACAGAATAATATTTAGCAATAAAGAAATGAAGTATTGGTACATGCTAAACCATGGATGAACCTGAAAACAGTATGACAAGTCAAAGAAACCAGTCACAAGAGACCACATATTATAGGATTCCTCTTATATGGAATGTCCAGAATAGGCAAAATCTATAGAAAAAAAAAATGTATAGAAAGTAGAGTAGTAGTTGCTTAGGTTAGGTGGGATGAAGAGTTTGGGTGACTGATAAAAATATGAGGTTTCTTCCTGGAGTGATAAAAATAGCCTAGAATAAGATTGTGGTGATGGTTGTACAGTGTTAATATACTAAAAACCACTGTACATGTTAAATGGGTGAATTTGATGGTATGTGAATCATATCTAAATAAAGAGAAATAAAGACTTTCTCAGACAAACAAAAATACAGCATTCATTGCCAACAGGCCTGTGACAAAGGATAGAAGTGAATTGGGTATACACTTGCACAGTCTTTACACTACATATGAAACTATATATCATTATTTAAAGGTGACTGTAACTAATTAAATATGTGCACTGTAATCCCTAGGTCAATCACTAAATATTTTTTGAAAGATATAATCAGCCAATAGTAGAAATAAAATAGAATCATAAAATAGTCAACAAACACAAAAATAGACAGAAAAAAAAGAAAACAAAAAACAACTCAAACAAAATAAATAAATATAAAAAGGAGAAAAAACAATTAAAACAAACATCTTCCAAAATGGTAAATTTTAATCTAACCACATCAATAATTAAACGTAAATGGTCTCAACATACCAATTAAAAGACAGATTGCCACACTAAATAAAAAAAGCGTTAACCAACTAAATTAAAAAAGTAAAACCTGGGGCCAGCCCGGTGGCGCACTGCTACAGTGCGCCGCTTGGGAGTGCAGCAGCGCTCCCGCCGAGGGTTCAGAT